AGACGGGTTCTGGACACGCTTCAGTGGCTTGATTCGGTGAGACTAAGGGACAGTTGAACAGAAGCTGTAAAATCATGAATACATGCCATGCAAATTCAAAAACTCAACGTATCCACTTCAAAGAAGAACACGTTGGATGCAAGTTTTTCCTAAGGAACTCCTTTGCATTGGCTCTTTTTCAAGAGTAACTGGAAGCTAGTGGAACATACATTCTGTTTAGAATCTGATCAGACCCTGAAAATATTCCGATGCACTGCACGACCAGAACGACTGAGACAGAGCCTTTTAGCCTCCCACGAATCTGGGTTCTCGTGGTGACGAACTCACCTCTAATCTTGGCTGTGGTCTTGCGAAGATGGTCGTTCAAGTCCGGAACAAGCTTATTCGGTTGGAAGCCTGTATGCATGTTATGAGATCACAGTCCATTTACCAACGAAAATAGACACTAACGGAGAAGCAAAGTTATAGAACCCTAAATGATGTCCTCTGTTCCATTCTTATCAAAACCAGTAAAAAAATCTAGTAAATCTAAGACACTACTCATAAGGTTTCTGAAAACAATTTGAAAGCCGAAGGCCAGTTTCGCCTCCCTTGAAGATGGCTCATCAGGTAGGCGCGGTCCCCGAGTTTCCATCACTCTTATCTTCTACTCGAACCCAAATTACACGAAATTAGCGGAATGCACACATTAGCATACCAAGTTGGTTTTTGACGAGAATTTCGGTGAATTTATGAGGTATTTTCACCCTCGTTCAGCGTTGTACTTCGAGTACTTAGAGGACATTAACAACTCTAGTAGATGAATCAAGTTGTTTCTACTGGTTCTGAACTTCACCTGACTTCTCCAGCATTCGATCAATTCATTTTCAGGCCATCACTAATGTGGAGCTAAACACCATCCACCACTTACCCTAACAGCTTTCCAGAGTGATATTTTCTAATCCTGAATGTTAACCCAGCGTCATATACCTTGGGTAGTTATTCAAACGATACTATTAAGATTTCTTCGTTTTGTAAATTTGTCCATCAACTATAACCGCTACGGAATTCGATTACAACAGCAAGCCATTACTGGGAAGGAGTGTGATGATTTCGTCGAAGGAGTTTCCCTGTATAAACGGCCCCTTATTTCTAAAGTAGATATCGTGCACTTAAAGTTACGTTATCCAAATCTACCGAAGAAGACTACCGGTACGATAATTTGAGCATGGTACTCTTTTAAAATATGATCAGATTAGACTCCGTTCAGCTTATTCGAACCACGACTGGTTCCGCTAACAAAAGAGCCATGGCACGACTGGCTACACGGGATTCGATTCACAGAAGCGCCATCTCGAACGACTGGCTGGACACTTTGTCCATCTGACCCCCATCAACCCAACTGCTGGAAAACTACACCAACCTCAATGGAATTTTGACATCAGCTGTCCATCGGAAACAGGTATTTATGACAAAAATTTATCACTTCAACACAAGGCACCTGACACAAACGGTTCGTGGATTGTTCATGACCTCCTGACGAACTTGCTCCGAAGCCTCCGGAATGGAGACAGAATACCGACATAATGGAGAACTTCGACGGTATTTGAAAGGCGCGTAAGAATGCTTTGCGGAAACCACCGAAGGCTCAGCCCAGTAGCCATAGCTTCCAGGGTGCACTTGGGTATTATCCGAAGCAGGTTGAAGCACCGTTGAGAGGCTGAGGCTCGTGAGAATCACAGTGGATTACGCCACGGACAGTATTGCATCTATTCCTTCGTGACAATTACTGGAATTGCACCATTCCTTTCGATGACCACCAATGATAGCGTTCCTTAATTTGGAGGTGTTTATATTGCAATCTGCCGTCAGAAACTGCGGTAGTCTGGCGACAAAATAGGCCCATCTAAGTTCCTGTCCGTTATAAGGGCTGTATTCACATCCTACTTTGAAGGCATAAGGAACTGCAGCGAACTTTCTTCTGAGTTCACCAGATTCTCTAGAACTTCACACTCGATGTGCTTGGGTGATCCTCTGATTCCAATACATCAGCCGCCGAACTACTTACGGGCAGTCTCCCACAAAAATTGAGTAACCTGACGATATCAATCATTTTGAACCACACCCTTCAGATATGCAAACCAATCCGGACACTCTTTCGGTAATACAAGATCTTGGAATTTTTCTGAATAAAATTTACATCTGCAGTTGAGACCAGATAACATCAAAAAACGAGAAGCACTCTAGCTGTTTCATCCTCATCAGAAATCATCCGCGGCGATGCGAACTCGCAGCCTGCTGACCGGTAGTTGAAGACCAAACTGCCGAGTGACGAGCGGATGATCGACAGTGAGATTGACTCTAATACGAACAGAATAAGGGGCCACTCTCCTTTCAGTCATGGAACTCATACCACGTGTGGACTGGTTTTTCAAGCGGCAGTTTCTCACGTGAGGGATTCACGAATCCTGTAAATTATTCTTTCTACTGAGTTACTTGTACATTGTTGTTAGAATGATTGGCTTTTGGAACTTTTCAGATGAGTTTGTCCTGTGAATGAATCCAGTCTACGACGGAAATCCATGTCCTCTTTTGGGGAATCGTTTCGCAAACCTCCGGGGAGGTTTGTGGTGGACAAACTCGTTCACCTGGACAACCACATGGGTTCCGAAGGACTGGCTAAAGACGAAGTCATTTCTCGAAGTGAGAAGGTCAGATCGGTGGTTAGGAACCTGGCACCGAAGTGACATCATTTTGGTTGATGAGACTTATGGTTCCTGTACCGGAGATGTGGCCGCTGCATGAAAGTCCTCAAGGACTGACCATTTGACCATCGGTGCCTCCGAAGTACTGCGTGGAATGGATGGCAACAACACGGAGGTACGCTAGATGGTTTTCGGAAAAGTTGCCTCTGTCTCGATTACCTAGCTGGTCATAAGAACGTTTGTCTCTCAGGGCCACCTTAGTCCGATCATGTGTCTCAGAGGGGAGGCATGTGACCCCTAACTCTGCAATTATGAGGTCCCTTACAGAGAATCAGTCGTCCTGGCAACTAATGGTTCACCAGACATGGATTTCCGGAAGTGACATGCCAATGCTTAATGGTCCTGGCAGATACGGCCAGTTCACCTGCAACAAGGCTACTGCCTTCACTCCGCAGGTCTCCCAGTTGGAGCCTCATCAAACTGGTTGGGCCGTTACTTCAAGCACGTGGCTTTCATTCCCGTTTTTTCCTATCCTCAGTGAACGAAACTGTAATAGCTGGAACCTGTCTATCTTGATACACGGTAAATGAATGAAAATACCAGGCATTGGTATCACTGAGGCGATCTTCTTGATAACGAATGCTGAGTAAAAGAAAGTGAGCAAGGGCTAACACTGTGTCCGCAGACAGCCAGGTTTCTTAAATACAATCTGACCTGAGGCGTGGACCACAATGCAGTAAGCGAAACTGCGATCAATCACTTAGAGTCATTCTCTTTGGGCACAGTGTCAGGTGCTTGTACTGCCAGAGTATCAGTGCGATCGAGTGTTGTTCTGGTTCCACACATGCGTTAGTAACTTTGTCTTGATCAAGGGCTTATTGTCGAATAAATACTACATGAAGGCGACGGCAAAAACGCTGTGACGCGACGCCGGTGGCTACCATAATCGCTGTTTGATTAAGCGAAAGTGTGGTATGCGGTGTAAGGTCACGAGACTGTTATTCGGTTCCAACCGTGCTAGGAAAGTCGAGTTTTACAAAGCATACAATTACAGGACACGCCAGGATTTAGGTTTATTGGAAATAGCGGTGATCATATGCAACAAATTCCGTGCTGTTCATAACCGACCACAAGTGATCTTGGGTATCCTCATCAAACACATATTGAATTTCAGCACAAATGAATGTGGCGCTTTTTGCTACACACGCAACTGCTTTCGAGATTTACGTTTTGACAGGATTTTACCAAATTAGTGAAAGTTGCGCGCATTCTGTGAAGCTTGATACGGCTGCACGCGTGATATCGACCGCCATGCATGGTGCGTACATTTCACGGCCGCATTACTACTCTTTCAGGGCCTGATGACCCTAGAAATCTAAATGTTGACTGAACGAATAGACTTGAGGTAACAATTTGACGTTGTCCGATAGCTAGCGTTCTTTTCCTTGAGTACGTTTCAACGTTTCCGTAATAGTTTGGTGAAAATGAGTACACAACGGTGAAACCCTTAGCACAAAATCTCACGTATGGACTGCTCCCAACCGGTTGCGAGAAATACTTCGATACTTGGAGAACATCCTCATTATCTCTCAACTTGAAATTATATATCTGACGCTGTGAGTCACTTGATAAATACACTGCGTTCAGTTTTGACCGTGATCGGTCGTACTGAGCTGGTACACTTTGCCGTCGTCCTAGTGTTGAAAACCCCATGTTCTGTGAATGTTTGTTGAACCCATCTTGAGGGATAGGAAGAACTGAATCTACATTGGACCCAACGTGCTCCAACCCCCTCCCATTATATGTACAAACACTGGTCGCCCATCCAAACTTATCCAGGCTCGTTCGTGCAACGTTTTCGGTTCACAGAAGTGAACGAATCCCGAGGATTTTCTGGGCTATTGGCCTGTGAGCCGAGCTCAGTAATTGGCTGGAGAGGACATCATCGGTGAGTGAGTGGACCGATCAACAGCCAATAAACTCACCCAAACAATCAATATTCAGACAGACGCCATCCCGAAATCTATGTTCTCTTGATGTTCCTTTCAGACAGCATACCAACTCTGAAATTAGAAGAATGAGGGTCCTTACGGCCTCTCCAAAGAGAGAAAGCAAGGCAACCGGGTAAGAATCGGACCGCTCCGATTGCTACCGGACGATCGTCCATGTGGTTAGACACGACAACCGGCTGATGTGTCATGTAGTCTTGTTGCTACAATACGTACAGAAATTGAAGCCTATGGTCGGGGTAGGTCGAGCAAGCCGTTCTGAAATTCCATCCATAAGAGACGTCATTCAGTGGGGGGGGGGCTTTCAGGAAAACATAAATGTAATTCACAAAAGTAACAGTCAAACTTCGGAAGTTGTGGATAAAACAACCGGCAAATGGTAGCGGTAAATGCAAGGATCATGAAAAGGCGACTGATAGGACGAGAAAATGAAACAAAAAGAACAACTGCGTCTGAGATCAGCTGAAATGTGCACCAGCAAACGATTCAGCATTTGAAGCGACAGAGAAATTCAATTCTAGCATATCCTAGGCGCTTGTTGTCCATGATGTAGTGCACAGGCGGTCATTCTGCACATCTGTACATCGCAGTCGGAAATTAAAAACCACAGTTTAAAAAAAACCGAAACCACAGCAGTGAAAAACTACACTGAATCCTAGAAAACGACGAAAACAGGGGTGAGGGGGGTGGGAGACAAAACTAAGACAAATGACATGATTGTATCAACCCCGTAGCAAACAGACAACGGGCGATAAGTCGCGATTCTGTACAACAGCTGTGCTCGAACGATTGCAGTATCGACAATGAGGATAATGAAAGTAATAATAGTAATAATTCGTAATAATCAATTATTGCACTGTAGATAATGATATATCACAAGTGGTCAATGCTAGGTGAACTAGACTGGCGATGGAAGCAGAGAACAGAGACGAATAGTAACTAAGCATAAAATTCCCGCGTCGGTGTCCGATGATAGTTCATATTCGGAAGTTTCTTGGATTCATCCAATGCGTAAGAACCTTCGTCCTTTTTGCGCAGACGATAAATGCAAAACAGAATGAACAGGATGAGGAGCAGCAGAATGGCAACGGCACTTCCGACAATACCTGTGAAGGAGAGAAGTATAACGAAGCCATGTAAACAGGTCAAAGAGTGAAGACTGTCAGTCATAAGGGCAACATAGCGACTGGTGTGCGAAATAAGTATATGTATGATTGCTTTGTGCGAGGACTTTAGCGCCAAGGGAGATAACAAGGTTGTAATCCTGAAAGATCCCAAGAATGAATCGAAGATAAGGTTAGGCGAACCGGTGCTCGGAATGAGTCGTCTTCTGGCCGCCACAAACAGTGACAATGGTGAAACAGTTGGAGCAAAGCAGAAAATCTGCATGCTAATCAAGGCAACACACAGCTAACTGTTGATGGACGAGGAGATTTTGGAAGTACTGTGCTAGAAGTACGGTACAGTCTAGAAGTACTGTACAGCTGTTTCGCCCCTATTGGGAATCATCAGTAGTGCACATCTCGTGGAACTCAAGGGGGTTTCGAACCCGTGACATCCTGGTTAGTAGATGCTCGCCTAGGAGGGGCTAACCAGCATCGTGATTAACTCGCAACCAGGGAAGATATAAAGCCACTTGCCGTTAAAACAAGGAATACCTATCATTGCTCGAAGTACTGACTGGCTCCCCGAGTAGCAACTGCACAGCTGCCTGTATTATATAGGAGACGGCCACGTGCGTGCTTCTGTCGGATAAGAGGTAAAGATTGGGTCAGTCCATCTGAAGTAATTAGACAGAGGTTTTGTGTGTGAGGAGGCGGACAGGAATAGTCTCGAGGCTACGCAGCCTGATTGTCCTGGGCCAGGTTTTTGGTAATTGGTACACGACCACAAATGCAATGACGAGCTGCGCGTAGATAAGGTGGGCTAAAATGGAACTTTGGACTTAGCTCCTACCCCTCAGAGACCGCAACTTCGAGCGGCTCTTTTCCAAGTCCGCTTAAACATCATCATCATTGACAGCATGAAATCAGTGCTCAACACTGATGTTTCGCCACCGTAGAACCATGATTTATTTGAAAGCCTTATTGTGAAGAAAAAATCAAGACGGACGGCGAAGGGACCTATTGCCAGCCTACCAAAATTATCCCGAGGTGTCTAAACCTCCAGACACTCATTCAGGCAATCTGGATAGAAACCGACAACAAGAACGCCATCGACATCGGTTAGAAGCGTCTTCAACCAGGCGCAGTGGGGATCACGTGGTCCTCAGCCTGGAAGACGAGTAGCACCGACAGCACCCAAACGTTTCGTAATCTTTTTCGTACCCCTATGCCAGATCAAGGTTTGGCCACCACTCTGAATTAAACAAGGAAAACAGCACTATCTACGGCTAACGATGGTTTGGCATGTGCAAAACATGGCCAAACCAGCGTAGTTTCTTGACATATTGTTCGACAAAAGTCCCTTTAGCAAAACTAAACACCACTTTCCTAATTGTCTCGTTGCGGATTCGCCAGCACCAGCCTACATCAGCTGTGGCTCTGTGACAATGGTTGTTGGAGACCTGAAGACTTCTGAGCTCCGCCGGTCGAACAAGTCAAGTGCCACAGCCATACAACAAAACAGCCCATACTGTAACCTGATACACACGTCTCTCGAGATTCGAGACTAAACATATTCTAATACTCGAACATAAACGTACCAGACGTAATTGGCTTGTAACCAACTTACTGACACCGGAACCAGTAAGCCTAAACATCTGCTCGAGTTGTACAGGTACCTGAATAAGATAGAATTTGTGGAACAACCGCGCTCCCACGCTGTATCACCTGCGAAGCACCGATGGGTAAGCTGGAGTACGCCTGCCCTAATTTATGACTACGCCCCTACTGCATCTCTGTCGCCTGTTTATCCATGACGACAGCCTTCGCTGGATACGTTATTGTGCCGGAGAAAGGAGGTATTTTATTGAAACGTGAGTGAATCGACGGACAACAATTGCGGTGCAAGGGCCGATTGTAATGGCATCGTAATTAGGCGGGTTGATGACTTCCAAGAGACCTTTGTAAGCCCATCCTTAAGGTTCACATGGAATTCACAGGGCCACCAGCATCCGGTCCCACGAAAACCGTTTGTGTTATCATAAATATGCACAGGGGTCCAGTGGTTTACCGGTTATTGACAGGCGAATACGTACCACATACCAGTTAACCATACTATACTGTATAGTATGAAATGATTATCTATTACGCCAGTGTGATTGCCTTAATAGGACAGGCCTTGCGTGTTCACCAGCCTACCCACCGGTCCATCTGCCAAGCGCAACCGCATGGAGCAGAGGTATGTTTGTTCCACTTTTCAATCAATGAGTGCTCGACACAGTGGCCTTAAGGATGACGACACCACTTACGGAATGATTTATGAGATACCGACACATCATTTATTATCACTTTCATTAATGGGCAGGTGCTGGTAACATTTGCATGGTGCTATCCAGGCGAGGTGCGCAAACTTAAAGGAACTGACTAACGACTCGGGTAGGTTGGTGATAAACAAGCAACTGGTGCGTGCGCCCACTGTTACACCATCGTGCTTAGGTCGGTTGGTTGCTTGCAACACGCCCCTATACATTGGTCTGCCTATCTGCGTCAGCACCAAAAGCTTGCACACAGCATCATAATCGGCCCCTTGTCCTTCCTACTATGCGCAGGTGTGCAACAATTGGACCGCTGTTTACCGATAAATCCGGCTAAATGTCACCTGTAGTGTACGTACATCCATAGTGTATATATAGTAGTATGAATGTAGTAGTATTTCTGAACAAGTGACTAAGCGATATTTTCACCAAATGAAATACGCCAGACGTTTTATCGTTTTTGTGCATCTGCGTCAGAAAGACCACAGCGTATGTTATCGGTTGACTGAGCTAACGGGATAAATCAAGTAGCCGTATAAAAATAATAAAAATGGATCGTTCAGATGTAGCACCCCTTGGGTGCCTAGCTGTCATGCCACCTGAAGGAGACACGAGGCTAGGATACTGTCAGGCTGCCCAAGCCTAAACAAGGGAAGTCGAGATTCACCTGTCTGACTCAAACCACAGACATTTCGGTCGGTAAATTCGCGTTCTAACCACTAGGCCCTTTCGCCCCCAGACGTATAGTTTTTCTCACACACCGTAGTAAACGGCTATGTTGCGGAATGCATGCCGCAAAGACGTACCTATACAGTATAGTACTTACTCTACGGCGAATTTAAGTGGAGGAGAGTATTTCAGCACCATTACTACCCTAAACTGCTGCTGCCTATGAAATACGGACAGCAAAGCCATAACTGTTACAATCGTAGAGTGAGTCACTGCACCTCAGATTGCTTCGTTTGGTCGTGGGTTAGACTCATTCGTCCATTTTGTCGGGTATGGCTTTTGTGCTGGTCTATTTGTTTGGCCTTCGAATATGCAAGTGCGAGTGGCCGGGCAGGAAGATTATATGGCTGTCGGTAACCGTCATACGGTTCGCACGCCAACTCGGTAGCATTGTTCCATATCTCCTTCGTTGCACGTAAAATTCTTTACTGGAAAGAAGGCTCGTCCGGTTGGTAGCGTCACTATCGGGCCCGTTTTGCGGGAGACCCGGTTGTCAGCCTCGAGCCCACCACGACCTAGTGGGACACCATCGACAAGGGCCCGCGTACAACAGCTGTCACATGGTGGTCGACAACTTCATTTAATAATGAGGGAGAGGTGAGTCATGCGACGTCCTACAGTATCATGAAGCCCTAACGCACCATAGCTGGGCTTTCCGGCTTTCAGTGTGCGGCAGAGTCATAGGCAAGTGCCAACATAGCACACCGTCTGCTTCCAATAGATAATTACTCAGCAAGTCATTGCAAATAACAAACAAGGTTATCGAGAATTTCAGACAAGTAGCGCATACTCCGTGGTGTCAGGGACCCTTGTACCAGTACACTATTGATGCTCACCAACGTGGCAGCCGAGTAGGCGTTTGTCACAGCGTTCAGCTTTCGATGTTCATGCAGTTATGTTTTGCAGGTAAAAAGTTATTCCTTGAATGCGTATTCTGGAAACACCATGGTCATGATGCATTAAGCACAAGTTTCCAAAATGATTTCGAAATAAGCAAACTAAGGACCAAAGACAAGAGCTATGCATTGGTTGAAACGAGGTCAAAAGAAGGCTTTGAGGTTAAAATGCCCATACGTGAGTCCACGGTAGCTTTGGACCAGTTGAACAATCTTTGATTACTTATCGGGAGAGCTGAATTGAAAAAGGCGATTGCAAAGTACAGTGTCCACATTGAGTGAAATTATTGTGTCCTGACCAGCAGCAACTGTATCCCATGTATTCAGTAACAACTCGAAAGGCGGTTGTTTCCGGTACAAACTAGGAACCCTCAAAGTTAAAAATACTTCGAAGAACTGTAAGAACGAGCTTAAAGAAACGGTGTTATGCAACCACACGTACATGAAACCGACTTTATAAGGTTCCGGATAGCCTTCGGGCTTCAATAATCCATGATGAGGTCTACGATGAATCCAAAAAAGGGTGACACCGGTCGAGTTTCCAACAACCTCAGGGGTGATGCGTTACGTCTAGACCATCATCTTGGAACAGTGGTTCCATGAGACGCTCAATACGACCACCTAATTGGAACTGTGAGTTTTTTTTACCGATACGTTCTTTCAACCGATTCAAAGCTGCGATTGAGTGTGAATTCCCCCCCCCCCAAAAAAAAAATCTTTCGAGT